ATGATGACGTTTCTTTATGAGTGAAAATTCTCAAATGGGACGTAAAACCACATACAATTAATTAAAATTCAATTTTATGGCATATTCCTTCATTAATAAGAATTTTATAACGTTTATATTTGAACTGGTTTTAACTTGACTATTTAAAAAAAAATGACACCGCATTGACATATGAGGCATACTGAATTATAGTGGAGCGGATATTTGAAAAATAAATCACTCGTGAGACAAGCAACAAATTTGGCACGAAGGTTCCGTATCTAGTACATGTACCTGAATAGAAAATATCGTTGGCCATTCAAGTTTCGGGCATTTTCAAAATGGCCGCCATGATTTTCAAAATGGCGTTATTTCTTACATTGCATATAAAGCATATTCAATTTTTTATCTACCATTTTAAAAATATTTGAAGCATTCAATCAACATAAGGTCCGACATACGATTGTTGATCTTTTATAGTACTCATAGGATCTAATCTTCAAAGCAGTTACAGCTGCCTGGAGCAATACAAGATACTTTTGCTGTTACCAAACAAGTAATTCTACACCTCTTCAAGTACTTCTTGACATGAGGTTGCCATTGCCACCAAAGATGTCCCATATGGGACTCAAACTCCACTATCTTTTTCACATATTACTTTAAAGGTAAAGATAAAGTTTACTCCACAAAAGGCCACAGCAAGTGTTTATTTTATTGATAAGTTCTGCTTCATAGGAATATAAAAACAGGTCGGCTGAAAAAGGAGCACAACTAGTGTCCATCGGAGTTCCAACATTTTGTTGGAAGACCTGGTCTCCGAAGACCACATAAATGTTGTCAATGATGAACTCCAGCATTCTTTCAATATCACCTTCAGAGTACTTGTGTGTAGAATCAGAGTGATTTTAAAGTCATTTTTGATGCCCAATTACAATAAAAAAATTTCCGAATTCCATTTTTAATGAAGAAGCAGTTATCTGAATTTCTCTTGAACTTTTGTAAAGGGTTGTCTCGTTACCCAGCCGACAACTACATGAATCAGGAATAGTGTTTGTTAAAGTGGATACCCTAAAAAAAATTACAATAGTTAACTATAGTTAACAATAGTTTACTATAGTTAAGTAAACTAAAGTAAAAACTATGATGCTTTGATTTACTATGAAACTTTATTCTGGAACTTTTTTTTTTGAGATTTCAGAGCTTAAAATCTCTTAAACTCTTAAATTCGGTAATAGTGATATAAAATTTGAAAATAATATGTGAATATACAAAGAATAGTTTTATTTAATATAAAATATGTATGAAAAGAAAAACAAAAAATATAACAATCAGAAATCCATAGTAAAAATACTTTGATTTACTATAGTGAAAAAAAACTTTGATACTATAGTTACATGTAACTATAGCAAACTATAGTTACCTTTAGCAAACTATAGTTAATTATAGTAAACTATAGTTAACTATAGTATTTTTGTTCGGGTAATCTTGCAGAAAATACTTAACTCCAGTATGTATAATAAATGATTCTGTCAGTCAGAGCTCTTTTATAAATATTTGTAATTTTGACTTCGTACAATGTCTTTATCAAGTTTTAGATCTTAACTAGATTCCATAATGTCTTTATGGTTTCCATAAAACTTTTCTGATTCTGATCTATCTAAATCTGGTTAGTTAGTCTCTAAATACTTTGTCTATTACCTCTTGTCCATATATAACACTCTTGAATGTCTTGCTTGCTCCATAAAGCAAAATGATGCCTCTCCATGTTTTGCAGAGATTATGATCTCCCTTGTTTGATATATGTAGTTTGACAACCAGTCCCTTCCTCCACTATTTAGATTCTCACTGCTTCTCATAGTTTGTATATATACATGTATTTCCTTTTTTTCTTGTCCTCAAGCCCTGGATGCCTAAATAAGCATTTTGTCAATCCCTGCTGTTTTCCATATTGAAAAGATATTCTAGTAGCTGTTGTCACTTACTTCTCGCTTCTTCCTTCTATTTATGCATTCAGGTAATTCCCTGGTTTATTGTTATTGGACTTTTGCAAGAAGCACTGACTTTTACAGTCGACGCCTTACTATGACATTTAAACCTACCTTATGTACGGAGGTACGGAATTGATAATAGATAAGAAAACCTTAATAGTGGTTATAGGTATTTTGTTGCACTTACATGATTAACTGGTATGCAATCAATGCAAGAGATGATGGGAGGCAGAATAACATAGCTTAAATTATTTATTTGTGAGGGTTAGTATCTTCCTTCAATCTCATTTTCTAAAGGAATCAAATAAGGAAGAAAATGCATTCCGGAAGGAAAACTAAGCAAGAGTTGGTCAATGTGGGAAGAGAGGGGGTTTAGGGTAGGGTGGTTGCCGTTCCCTTCCTAGACAGCGTAATATGTGCTTTGAAATGACCCATTATTATCGTTTAATTAACTGTTAAGCTTAATATTTATATCGCAAAAGAGCTTCCATATACTGTCCTAGTGTAAAAGTAAGCCGTCGATTGTAAAAGTCAGCGCTTCTCGCAAAAGTCCATTGGTCCTCAAAGTTCGGTCTATGTAGTACTCTTTGATGGGTTCGTTTCATCTACTTAGTTGTTCCTCTACAGATCTTACTTTCTCAATGTTTTTCTTTTTGCCCGGGTTGGCTTTACCATGCAATGCAGATCTTTTTCTCAGAATTTTTGTGATGTTATATACGTCTTCAAATCTCTATGGGCTGCCAACTCAGCTTCCCAAACAAGCTCATTTATAAAGTCTCTTTTTTTTACTTGCAGTTATGATCGACCTTATTGTCTATCTCCTGGTAGTATATATTTTTGGAGTTTACGTCTTTGCAATCTATAGTTTTTGTATCCTTGAATTGCTTTTTTCCTTAGCTTCCTGCCACTTATTGACATCAATGCTCTCATTTTTCCCGGGTATTTATGTAGCGACTATCCTAAGGGTGCTTTTCAAGGGATAAAGGGTCTCAATTTAGACAAATGTCATGTTCTAAATTTTGAATTTACCGGGTGGGAGTAATTTACAAAATTTTATCTTGTTCTAAATTTTGTATTAACTCCCACCCGGTAAATTCAAACTTTAGAACATGACACAAATATAAATACAGTGTAAAATTTTTCTCTTCTTCTGCTTGTGCTTTTAATTGATACTTGGAATCAATATCATTTACGTTGATTATTGTTCTTCTACTGGGTTATATCACTTGTCCATGGATCTAATTTCTTTTATACAACGGTGCCACAAGCTGAGGTTCTTCTCAATAGGATAATGTAGAGCAGGCTGGGCACCTTGCACCGTGTTCAAAAACCAAGTTCTAAGAGTACTCGGTATCTCACCAGTATTCAGGGTTACTGCACCTCGTATCTCCCAATACCCCTGTTTTCATTTCACTTGTGCTATGACTTCAACCCTATACTTCTCTATTTTCTCTGAATATTATAGTTGCAGAACTGTAGCTCTCTGCTTCAGAAAATTCGGACAGATAAAGCAGAGAGCTACAGATCCAAGCGTTGTAAAAACCTTCGATTTACGCCGCCGCTTTTTTGTCGCTCTCCTCGGCTATTATTTCTTGTATTTTATGCTTTCCCCCGCTTTAAGAATGGTATCAGATAATTTGCAATATATTTTACTCTTATTCTTAATACTTTATTTACCTTTCAACGGTCCCAAACAGCCCTTAATGGTTTTGGACTGTCGATTTTAAAAATTCCCATTCCGTCGACGTCCATGTTGGGGGTCGTGAGAAAAAAAGTACTCTAAAAAAGAAGTTCTCTACTTCTTTTCAAACCTGTCTACGTTCAGACTTCTTAATGACTGATGCTGCCTCTGCAGCCATTTATATAGAAAAGGACCAGGGGTAAACAGGCTCCAGGACTATACCCAGAGATGGGGTAATTGAAATGAGTAATACTGTATCTATATATACTTTTTTCAAAGTAATTGAAAGTATTTGTAAGTAAGTTTGCTTTCAATTAAACGTAATTAAATTTATTGAATGAATTTTTTTTTCTGTGTTCTTGACAAAGGACTGAATTGAAAAGTCAGGCTTTGTTTTATCTAAGAGAAACATTTAATTTATGACACCACCCAAACCCCTTCCATGCACTATCTGTTGATTTTTTTCCCCAAATGCTTTACTGTCTGTGGAAACTTTATCGAAAAACCCACAAACAAAACAAAATAGAAAAAGATATTTAGTTTGTCAATAATTACAATTGCAAGGTAATTTTTCATAAGGCAATATGTAGATTCTACATGTACATACATGTATAACGTAAATTAAATATACTGAAAGGAAAAAGAAACGCAGGGTAACATAATATGCGGAAAAATTTTTGATTGTATAACAGAAAAATAGGAAAATTGGTCAGAGGGATATCTTGGTTACTGTGCTATAAAATCAGTGTTCAGAACTACCTTACCGTGAAATGTGTGACGTCACATAAGGAAAGTGGTAAATGCCGAAAACTATGAGGCGCCGTTTTGGTATTTACTGCCAAAAAGTGATATCACCTATTTGAATAAGTGATATCACCTATTCGAATAGGTGATATCACCTATTCGAATAGGTGATATCACTCATTCAAATTGAATAGGTGATATCACCTATTCGAATAGGTGATATCACTTATTCGAATAGGTGATATCACTTATTCGAATAGGTGATATCACTTATTCGAATAGGTGATATCACCTATTCGAAATGAATAGGTGATATCACCTATTTGAATAGGTGATATCACCTATTCGTGCTGAATAGGTGATATCACCTATTCGAATAAGTGATATCACCTATTCGAATAAGTGATATCACCTATTCAATTTGAATGAGTGATATCACCTATTCGAATAGGTGATATCACCTATTCGCATTTCTGACAACAACAAATAATGAATGCTCCCTTCCTCAAATTTTCATTGGAACCAAGCAAATTCGGGCTGGTTAGGGTCTGTAAGTCTCGTCACGTGACTCGCGAAATTTTTCGATAATATTAACTTCCAGGTACCTCACACATGGAGATGTGTATTGGGTTATGCATGTTTATGGTTTACACAAAGCGTATAAGGAAAGTTTAAGCAGTTGTACAAAGCCGAAGGGTTCTCCGACTTACGATGGATAAATTGAGGGTCGTAAAAGCTTGGGTGCGAGCAAGTAGGAGGAGAATTTCGATCGAAGTACAGGTAAACAAGTGAGAGAATGTCACCTGCTTCTTGGGTATTCTTGGGTGAAATAGAAGTCTTATATTATACATTTGTATCTGATTAGAATAGTTTTGTTATCATCATTCCAACTAATTTATTAACAGATTTTTCTTGAATTCGAGGATAATGATGTTATTACCAGCTGATTAAGGAGGAGTAGTGTAAGTGTCAGATGGGTACGAACGTCATCTTGTGACAGCATCACCTTTGTTTGGGTAAATAATTTGTTCAGAATTCGCTTCATTTATCAACAAAAATTTAGCTGTTGCATGTCAGTTAGGTCTAGTTTTTCAAGTATTCAATGTTTGAAAGCACTTATCGGGTCCAGTACAATCTTTTGATTTAGCTATATATATAGCTTTATTAAGCTGTTCAGAATAGCTTAATTTAGCTATTTTATCACACTTTTCTTAAGTGTATACTTTTCTCAGCATGCACAAAAAGTCGCACCTTGGTGCAGTGATGATACTCAACCTTGAACATGTGTTGAACTCTTCTGAAATTGATGCATTTAAAACTCACTCATTAAAATCTCCTTGCATACATGTGATAATTTTTAGGCCCAAATACTGTACAGCAGTCCTCAAAATACAGGAATTTGGGTGAAAATACTGTACATTGTTCATCAAAAAACTATACAAAAAACTGTAAAAAAAAAAAATATTGACCAAAAGTCAATGTAAGAGGTTCATTTTTTAAGCTCTTCTGAGCCAAAGGCCCAAAGAGCTAATGCTACATGTATGGCCATTTGTGCGGTGTGCGTAAACTTTTTAGAATATGGGCCATAACTCAAGAACCCTTCGGCCAATTATTGTCAAATTTGTCACAGGGTATCCTTGGGCCAAGGGCTTCTGTTTATACTAAAACTAGGGTTGTGACCCTTAAACAAGGGGAGATAATTAGGAAAATAGAAACAAAAGAGACTTTGTACTCAAAGTTCTAAAAGTTTTTGGGCTACATATGCAATTGATACAGGTACTTCTTCAATGAATTTATAAAGGAGGCCAATTATGGTCAACAAGATAATTGATTAATTCAGTACATTCAATGAGAAGCAATCATACTTATCCATGCCTCAATGCACACAAGGTAGTGGACAGTTACTCAAATAATAGAAATTTATCTTTTGCTTAAAAGTAATCAAAAGTTGCAAAGTTGGAGCTATCTTTGATTTTGCTTGTTGTTTCAATAGCCCATAGCACATATATGAATAGTCAAATACATGCAACTTTTTGTCTATTTCTTACCAAAATAATATTTGTGAAAAACTGCATATAAATAGCCAAATCAAGCTATTTTGAATAGCTTAATAAAGCTAAATAGCTATTTCAAGCTATATAGCTAAATTAAGAGATTGTACTAGACCTGCTTATTTCCCAATCCCAACGATAAAACTTTCTTTATATATTCTGCAAATTCTCTCTGCATTTATCATTGAACAAAATCATATGACTGCAATTATATGACCATATTCTTCAGTTTAGAGAGCATGTTATAGAGGATATTTTGGTTAAAGTTTTGGTCTGTTTCATGCAGTGTTTGAAATATTCTTTCATCTTACACAATTGTATACATTAAGATTTATTTTATAGCTAAAGTACAAGAGAACTGCAGCATCTAAGACTACATGTACATCGACTTTGAATAATCTATCCGGTGTATCCTCAAAAAGGCAACTCAAATACAGGTATGAAATTGATGTCACAAAATAAGTTTTTGGACTTACATTTACTCTTATAATTCATATACATATAAAGCATATCAAAAATAAAAATAGAAAAGAATTAAAGGTTCATCAGGTGACAGCTCAATCATGTATGGAATATTATTAGGCCAAATAAAAAAATATGTGTGGTTCCCATTACCTGACCGTCCCTATTTTAGATCCCCGACCCTAAACTTTTTTTCGGCAATATTCATATTTATTTCCGGAATTTTCCGCAATTTCCATCATCCACTTTGGTATTAGTTTTAGTTCCAGCAATGGCGGCCTCCATGCAAAAATCGTTTCAACACGTAGTGCAAGTGTTTGATGGTGTTAAATCTAAAGCAAGCTAGCATGGCGTGGCAGTATACCTTTTACCAGCGCCATGTTTTTTTGTTTATTTGTTTTTTGGTTGCCAAAATTAAATAAATATGCCCAAGAGTGGTGAGATTCAGTTAGTTGCTCTGTTTACAGCTGGTTTATAACAAGTGCATGCTGATTAGCCCCTTTATTATTTAATGCACGGAAAGGTGTGAAGTCAGGATAGGAAATCACTTCTCGCTTGAAAGCACACAGACAGCTGGCCAGGTAACGTTTTTTGGAGTTAGGGGGAAGATAACATGAGATAACATTTATTTGATTGCATTGATTAGCAAGAATTGGCCCAATGTGTAAGATAGATTAACTTGTAAACTATTAAATAATTTATATCAGGATCATTTCTTTTAAACCGAAAGTAGAAAAAAAAACAGTTCATGAGGAAAAGTGAAAAAGAAGACTGCTGATTTTACATGAATAAAGTCAACTTGCAAAACACCAATATATATGAGAAATGAGCTTGGAAGTATGAAGTCTTCAATGAGGCAAAAAGGTTTCATGAAAGGATTTAAAATTTTAATAATATTAAATATTTGTACTTCTGACAAATTTGAATGATTCTTTGTCATCTTGCTTAGGTGATTTATTTTGTTTTAAACATTACTGTACAAAGTGTAGGTGTCACATTCTTTTCCTCCGACAGCTCTTAGCAGAACTCTCATGTCCGTTTTCTAGTTTATAGTTCAGAATTTATTATTAAGTAAAATAAGAACTGTTCTGGATAAAAGTAATTAATTAATTTCATTTATAACACTGATTTTAAAAAAAGGATGTTCACTTTGGACTTTATTTTTTACAAAAAGAAAAGATTGTGTTTTCATTATTTTTGATATAAAAATATTTGTTTCATATTCATAACTAGGGTGCCCCCTGCAAATGTTGACTAGTATATTTAACGCCACATCGAAATGCCACTTATTTTCTCCTTCACTCTGTTCATCCACAAATAAAACATTTCTTTTCTGAACCATAGTTGGAAAAGACTGAATTCAAAATAAACATTTATTATACCCCATTCATACGACACGATTTGCATACCTCAGTATATTTTACACATATGTAAATTTACTTACATGTGCAATTTTTGTCGTATGAACTGATTTGCTCATATGCAAATTATGCACACTTGAGTAAATTTGCACCTGGTCAGGACAAGGTGTAAATTAACTTTTGCATACACGTTGTCGCAAAATATTTGCTCCCGTGTGTAAAATTTGTCTTATGAACATGCAGCAAATTTACTTATGTAAGTTTTTCGTCATGTGTATTGCATCAATCTCCGTTTTAAGTGTTGTTATGGTTGTATATGCATTGGCATGTAAAATATCAGTCGGTAAACATGGCTGCTAGAAAGTAAAGCTCTAAAAATACGCGGATTTTCAAGGGTCAGTCTTGCGCTAAGTAAACAAAAATTGAAAGTGAACCGAGTTACTGTAAGGGTAGATCTGTTGGTGTATGGCTTCAAAAGCCAAGTCTTCAAAGGGTATACGCTGTGTCGCCGAGAAGTACTACTAGCATAGTAATTTCTCCAAACTGCTTTCTCCACTCTGGAAACAAGGAACCATTATCTCCTCTGAAATAAATTTTCGAATATGCAAAAACGCGGGCAAATCTAAAGATAAAGCTGTGGTCGCAAACACCCTGCAGATTCAATGAGTAGAATCCTTTCCTGTTCAAGTAGTCTCCGTGTGAATGCTTAGGAGCTATGATAGGAATATGCGTGCCATCAATCGCTCCACCATAGTTTAGCCCTTGATGACTTTCTTCATCCTTTCTCAGTTTTAAACTGAGGCAGGCTACTGACAGATAAGTTTATGTTACAAGGATTTCAACAACCTCGTTTCAAGTCAGCATTTGGTAAATAAATAGATTTCATATGACACATTTTCAATTCGAGTTATTTCCCTTGGTCGCCATCTTGGAGATCAAACTGGTATTTGAGCAGAAATATAAGGGCAAAAATCTTTGAATTACTAAACCTATGAACTTTGTTAACATATATTCGTAAGAAAAACTGTGTTATCTTCGCCTCATTGTCCAGTATGAGAAGTTTAAATTGGTTGAATTATGAAGGAATCTGGCCTTGTTAGCGCCCAACATGGCAACCGACGGAAAATTACTCTATGGTCATTATAATGATCTTATTAGCATATGTTCCATAATGGCCTCGTAAACTTGATGTTTGCAATCATACATGGTAGATTTCCCAACACCAAATGATTTCCAATCGTACGTCCCTTATTCCGCTGAAGACGCTAACCAGTAGATGGTAACAGCCACCTTCTTCTTTACATCCAACGGCTCTTCTACAGTCTTTGGGTCGGGTCAAAAGCATTTCACAACTTCTCACAAAATTTTATGAAATTTTATGAAATTTTCCTTAAACATTCGAAAATTCTTATACCAATCTTCGTCCTTTAAGTCATAAAGAACGGTTCTGTCGTACCAATTTTTGGATCGGATTTTTCTTCTACTTTCTTTGAGGAACATCCAAAATTTAATCCTATACCTAAATAGTAAGTTAATCCTATACCCAAATAGTAATTTTTTCTGTGAAAATTCACAAATCTGAAGCGGTCCATCTCCTTATTTTAAATGACAATTTGAGGATTTACTTATGGTACATAAATCTCGTCTGAACGCATAGCAAATTAACTTTTACTTATGTGTGTAAATTTACTCATCTGTAAATTTGCACACATAAGCAAATTTTCGTCGTATGAATGGGGTATTAGTTATGAGTTATATACTCGGCTCTTCACAAAATATTTCTGTTTTTTCGCATTCTATAATGTACAATTTTAGATTTTATATACCTGTATAAAGACTTCCGCAGCAGATTCCGATAGAGAAATCATGATCTATATTTATAATAAGATTTAATGTATAATGCTTAAGATATCCATTAATTTTACTTATAATATACAATTCTGAAATTAATATCATCCTTTAAAAACAAGGATAGCACATATCATCTTCGTAAACACTTAACATTCTAAAAAAAGAAAATATAATATCCAAATTACAGTTAAATAATTCAATTTGCTCATGCTGATTTTCTTCAAACATTGTATTTTCTAGATGAGTATGAACTTGAATGAATAGAATCAGCAAACAACTGTTTAAATACCCAAGACATTTTATTCACACATTAAAGCACATATCTAATCCATATGCTTAAGAGAAAACATATCTAACACTCTACACATAAAATAGTTCACATATGCTAACGAAAAGAAATAGGTATTATTTAGAAAAATTTAGAAAATCATTTTGTACAAAAAAAAAAAAAAAAAAAAAAAAAAAAACCCTACCTACCCTATTTTTTTGGAGGTGTAACCGGAACCACACATATTTTTTTGTTTGGCCTTAATGCTGAGTTTCCAAATGCAAAATTAAGGGTATTCAATATATTCCATACAAGTTGTCGATCATTTATTAGTGATTTATACAGAGGTTCATTTGCATATAAATGTTGATAACATTGTTTTACTGTCTTTATTAACTTGTAATACTAAAAAATTGACAAATTCATTCTTTTTAGAAAGTGCATATAATTTGGAAAAGAGACCATCAATCCACTGAGGGGTATCGCATGAAAGCAATGATTATAGAATATTGTAAGGCTGGAGGAGTTATAGTACAACAGGCAGGCAAGTAATGGTACTTTGTTCTGGAAATTTTTCGCCCCAGTTTTATTTTTCTCATTCTGCCCTCCTTACAAGTAGGTGAATTTAAAACGGGACAAATTCAAAGAAGGCAGCATATATCTTTTAAACACAAATGTGTCTGATCAAATTTGAAAAGGGCAAAATTGTTTTCAAGGGTGAAAGAGTGAATATTTTAAAAATTAGAATGGGGTGAAAATATCCAATAATACAGGTTATATGTATTAACACAGTACATATGCATTTCTGTTTTCTTTATAATGAAAATAATTTGTTCTGTAAAAGGACAAATTTTGTTCTGATTTGTATCAAATAAATATGTGCCAGATTTATTATTTTGCAGGCACCTAAGTTACCATCAGTTGTGTGTCAAGCTGTGCAAAAATTCTATGTCATGTTACAGAATCTTTCTTAAATACAGGTATATGTCTGCTCATCTGGCAATCTTAGGACATCACTGGATGGTTTTGTTTAAAAAGATTACAGAGTTAACACACACTTCCAGCATGAAGACCAGCCAGTTGCCTCACCTGTCCTGACATTGTTAAAGGTAAATGGTCCTTTCAGAAAAGGATCTGACAATGCAAAGGCTTGCTAATCAATTAAAGATTTCTCTTTACTAATAGGTAATTAATTTGAATTTCTGTAGCTTAAAAATTTAATGATATGAATTAAAAAAAATATTTTAATCAAAATTATTTTTATTTCAGTACTTTGTGACAGTGAAAAGACAAGGCTTTAAATTACTGTGTCAGAGATCAATCCAGGTTATAAATCTGAGGAAAACAATAAAGCATCCACTTCGAGCTACTTATATCACTGCCTTAATAAGATGTCTGCATGTGTAACTAACAAAGGACAGTGACCAGTTGTAGCTTTGATATCAGAGGGCATCCTGAAAAACACTCATCACTAAGAATAGAAAACTTCAAATGACTTTTGTATCAATCCTTTTGAATTTCATCTGGCTTGGAATTTCAGTAGCCTTTAGCATCCTTCAAGCATTTCATGAAGTACATGTACCAATTTGCAGGCATAAAATGTTTGAAACAGATTGCTTGTCCCAAATAAAAAAAAAATAATTTCTCTGCCAATTAACAGTGTCATAAGCAGTTGATTGATATCACAGTTCCACTGGCATAGTATTTGTGGTTGAATGGTGCCATTTTTAAGAAAACTTTTCACAAAAACCTGGAAAACATCAGATGGAAAGGAGCATCTACAAGAAAAACAGTTAACACTTTCTTGAATATTAACAATGATATATCATGCCCATTTACATCCTTTATATAAACTAATTAACCTAATCATAGAGAATTATGTACAAATTTGTCCTTTTGTGTATTTATAGTGTATTAAATTGATTTTACTAATTTATAAATATTTATGTTTTTCACAGTCATTAACATTTACAAATATAAGTACATATAACATAAAAATATTACATGTTTAGTAGGATAACGTGAAATTGTTATACCACAAAAACCATCGCTGACCTCGCCTCGGTCAGCAATGGTTTTTAAGGGGTAAGAATTTTACATCACCCAAAATAAACAGGTAATATTTTTCTTGTCATAAAATGCATTTTAAAGAAAACATCAAGGTGAAACGAATGTGCAAACATTCTGCACAGTTAACTTTTTTTATTACTGTATATACTGTTACCCGTAGTCATGCATTTTCAACCATTGGGATGTAATGTTTGGCATACAGTATGGTAATAGTACTTGTTAACAAATGTTTTTTAAACCAATCAAATTTGACTATTTAACATGAAAGTGTATCATAACAAATTTATCTAGCATAATGGTGCTGTAAGTAACCATGGAATGTGAGCTTGTGTGATCTTGATCCTGAATTATTAAGTTTTGATATTGTAAAAAAGAATTGTGCAGCCTAAACTTTAACTTGTACCTGATTTAAATGGAGTTCCGTCATTAACAACTTGGAAGTTGGAAGTTGTCACACTCATCATGAGTATAATAACTGGGGGATCTGCTTCATTTGCAGATACATGGATAACACATTCACTCAAAGCACTGTCCCCTTTTTCAGTGCCTTGTGCAGCCCTGTAATATACAATGACAAATGGAGAAAAATGCCTATTTCAAGAAAAAAAGTCTGTCTCATAATTGTAGGAGTATTGGCAAGGGGGGGGGGGGGCATGAAACTTGGCGGTTAATACAGTTTGTATGTGTAAATGAAAAAATGCCTTTTTCTTTGTAGAATAAAAAATGATTATTTTTTGAGTGTTTGTGACCATTTTTATTTCCGAATAGACAGGGTAGCTTATAGCCTACAGAATGAGCTGACCATTTTTATTTATTGTAGTAATTAAAAAAAAAATGTGTTTTCTACAAAGATCATATGTTATAGACGTGGTATTCAACTTTGTATTCCCATGGTCGATGCATTTGGGTACATCTATTTTTTTATTTGCTTTCAATGACATCGCATTCAATATCCCAAACTCATGTATACCTGTCCAATACTCCAAATTATACCACTGTAAGCTAAGTCAATGCTTTAAATTTATGAAACCAATCTGTAGATAAGCGTACCTCTTGAATACAGACGATTTTAGCATAAAAACGATTTAATTTTCCCTTTTTGCTTAAGTATGTTGGCTAATCTTGGCCCCCTCGGAATAGCTTGTGTTTACGTTATGTAATGAAAAAATAAAGCAATTAAACGCTATTTACCTGCATCTATCAATCCACTTTCTCCTCTTCTTTGCAACAATCGGGGATCAAAACAAACTACAAGTTTAATAATTCCACTGCGATGCTTACAACTTAAGTAATCCATTGTCTCCAAGAACGCTCAGGTACCCAGGAGTTATAAAACGAAAGTGAAAGTCAACGAGACTTACAGACCCTTTGAATTTTCCTATAGTATACATGATAGATAAGTGTAATAAATATAATTTGTGAGCAAAACAAACAACAAATTCTACTGGGGTGCTTAAAACTAAATGCGAAGCTGTAATCCATTGTCTGCAAGAATGGTAAGTTATAAAACGAAAGTGAAAGTAAATGAGAATTAAAGCTATAGTCTTGGGAGCAGTTGTTATTTCATAAATAATTCGAATAGGTGATATCACCTATTCGAATAAGTGATATCACCTATTCAAAATGATTAAGTGATATCACCTATTCGAATAAGTGATATCACCTATTTGAATAGGTGATATCACCTATTTGATTTGAATAGGTGATATCACCTATTCGAATAAGTGATATCACCTATTCAAAAGGAATAAGTGATATCACCTATTTGAATGGGTGATATCACCTATTCGAATAGGTGATATCACCTATTCGAATAAGTGATATCACCTATTCGAATAGGTGATATCACCAATTCAAATCGAATAGGTGATATCACCTATTCGAATAGGTGATATCACTTATTCGAATAGGTGATATCACCTATTCGAATAGGTGATATCACCTATTCAGAAGCTGAATAGGTGATATCACTTATTCAAATAGGTGATATCACCAATTGAATAGGTGATATCACCTATTCGAATAGGTGATATAACTTTTTGGCAGTAAATACCAAAACGGCGCCTCATAGAAAACACGTGCATATCGATGACGACATGTTTTTCAACACATTTCGTAGTACCATTTACTGCACTTAAGTAATTATACACATCGTTTTTCGATATTTACAGTCGATTTGCATTTCTTGATATCAAGTTACGGTTGACGGAAGTACCATGGGGTCTGGCTATTGCATAGCCTAAGTAAGGACAAAAGCAACAACAGGGTTCTGTACAGTTTGTTGTGAATTTTTCCACTATAGAACGTCTTACTCGTCCTCAGAGAGGGCGTGGAAAGGTTTCCAACCAACCGTGACGATGACGCTTAACAGCGCCACATCAAGATCGGGCTATTCATCCTGCCACCTGTATAATCACCATCACATTACCCTAAAACTGCTATTAATACAGCAGACTATCATAATCGTTACATTCACCCCAAAACTGAAGGAAATCGATAGCGCGATTTTGGTTTGTGAGCTCGTCAACTTTACGAAAGTGTTCCTGTAACTCGCGCATGCGTGCGTCGTTTGCCTATTTTTGGTCATGTTAACCCCCCTCACAATGCTGCCAGGGTTTGTCGAGATTTTCTCGCAAACAATCACATTTATCCACTTGACTGGTCTCCGTCAAGTCAATCTTTTTCGCATCAAACGTCTGTGGGACTACGTGGACGATAGGGTTTTTAAATGTCCAAGTCGGTCTCAGTCAACTAAGGGCTGCCATCTCGGAGGGGTTAAATAATTTCCCTATTAGAAGGATAAACACACTGATGAACTCCATGTATAGGATAATCAAGGCTGTGACAGATGCGCGAGGGAGACATGTGAGATAATGAGAATTTTCATTTTTCACTTTTGGGGGGTACCGTCATAGGAGTTTCAATAACTCATGAATTATTGGGGAAAATCAAATGATATTTTGGTTACATTTTTATTAAAGATGATTTTAAATGTTAGATAGGATAACTGAAAAATACGTCTGAAATAGATAATCTTATTTCACTTAAACAGTTTACCCTCCGTTTCTTTTTCCTTTCAGTGTATTTATTACCATAAAAGAATAGCCACATACCTTCTATGCATAAGCAACAATTTTGATGAAAAATTTAGGTTGATAATTAAGGTCTTCCGTCTCCACGGAAGACCTTATAGTGATTCTATTGTTTCTTCTTATTAAGGTCTTCCGTCTCCACGGAAGACCTTATAGTGATTCTATTGTTTCTTCTTCTTCTTATTATTATTCTTTTTTTTTTAGACAAAATTTTGTGCACGCGATTTCTCGAAAACTATTCAATGAATTTCTTTGAAATTTTCAGGGATAAAAGGTCTTTATATGAATTTTATATAAAATTCCGTTTTTTGGTAAACTCGGTTCCAGTGCCAAGTTATGGACAATTTCCTGATTTTAAAATGCAATTTTG